TTATTTATTTATTCATGAGAGACACACACACACACAGAGAGGCAGAGACGCAGGTAGAGGGAGAAGCAGGCTCCCTGTGAGGAGCCCGATGCAGGACTCGATCCCAGGACCCCGAGATCATGTCTTTAGCCAAAGGCAGACGCTCAACCACTGAGCCACCCAGGTGCCCTAAATAAATAAAATCTTAAAAAAAAAAATTGACATCTATCTACCCTAGGACCCAGCAGTCCCAGTCTGAGAGAAATGGACAATAATAAGCCCACTAAAAGACTTGCACAGGAAATGTTCAGACCAGCTTTATTCATCATCACTCCAAACTGGAACCACCCCAACGTCCATCAACAGGCGAATGGATAAAGATGGGTAAATCCATACAATGGAATACTATTCGGCAATAAAAGGAATCACCTCCTGATACACTCCATAGCATGGATGGATCTCAAAAACATCAAGTGGAAAGAAGCCAGACCCAAAAGAGCATAGACTAGACAAGTCCATTTATATGAAGTTCTAGGCTTGGCAAAACTAATTTATGGTGACAAAAATCAGAAACTTGTCACTTATGGGAGGGGAAGGGCATGAGACAACTAACTTTCTAGGGGAGCTGGAAATATCCTCTATCTTAATCCAAGTGGTAGTTACACAGGTGTACAAATCTGTCAAAATTCATCAAACTGTAACAGAATCTTTGCATTTCACTGCATGTAAATCATATCTCCATTTAAAAATACTCTTTTTAGGGGCACCTGGGTGGCTCAGTGGTTGAGGGTCTACCTTCAGCTCAGGGCATCATCCCAGGGTCCTGGGATCGAGTTCCGCATCAGGCTCCCTGCAGGTAGCCTGCTTCTCCCTCTGCCTGTGTCTCTGCCTCTCTCTCTCTGTCTCTCAGGAATAAATAAATAAAATCTTTTTTTTTAATCACATGATGAAATTTAAAATACAGATTCCCAGACTCCGCCCCATGGGGATTGATTCAACGTGTCCATGCTGGACCTGGGGATCTGAATTTGTAAAAAGTAACTCAGGTCATTCTATGCCTGATTAGAGTTACTGCTGCCCAACCCCTGTCCCCTATACTCCCCTTCCCTTTTATTGTTTTGGGTGATTTGTTGTTTGTACATTGGTTTTTATAAGGGAGCTGGTTGACTCAGAGCTTTAGAAACCATTCTATTGCAATTCCCAGCAACTTCCATTCCCTCTGGCTTCTCTTGGCCACCCATAACCCCTGCCCCTCAGCTCAGGTTTCCAAATGAAGCCTCTGACCAGGTGAGGTAAGAGGGGAAACCCCAAAGCCCCTGTCCAGGGCAGACATAATTCACCCTAAAGACTCCTGGGTTTCATGCTCCCAGGGAGCTCAGAGCCAGTAAGTTAATGGCCTGTGTACCTATTAAACAGCATGTCTGGGCCTTTACCCTGTGTTTACAAAAAGAGCTCCAGGCAAGATTCAGTGGCATGGAAAATGCTTTGTGCCCTGACCAGCAGTGGCCTGGCCACCTTCGGTTTCCTGGACCCCAGCCTAGTACCTTGCCCACCATCGGGGGTCTTCTGGGCTCCTAGGTTTAACTGGCGTCTCCCACTGCTGCCCCCAAACCCAGTCTGATGCTGTTTCTATCACTGCTGCCCTCCGAATAAAGCTCAAGCCGGTTTACCGAATGCCTAGGCCCTCCTACCACCCGGCTCCTGTTTTCTCCAGCAGGAACCCTGCAAGACTTTATCTACAAACAACCTTGGCTATTTCATGTCACTGTGCCTTTGCACCTGCTATACCCCCTGCCCAGAATGCCAGCCCATACTGTTCCTCCAGTCACAGAAGATGCCAGCTCTGACATCGCCTCCTCTAAGAAGCTGAAGTGCCTACAACCCTGCCATCGGTGCACACTCAGTCACCCGAGTCCTCACGGCACGCCGCCTTGGAGGGCATGGTCACTGTCCTATCTCCCTCTGCGCTTTGAGCACCTCAAAAGCCAATACTCTATCCCCAATTCAGTGCCAGGCCAGAACTGTCCTTAAGCAAGGTTTATTAAACAGCTAGATAAGGCACATTTAAAAAGACCTCACTTTCACATTTGAAGGCCACCCTGGGCATTTCCACAGTTCCTCCCCAGAACCCATAAATTCAAACCAACACCTGTGCCAAGTTGGCCAACACAGAGGAGTGAGATGGAACCCCAAAGAATCTGACGCTTGCTTATGACCTTCTGCAGAAGTGAGTGATCATCCTGCACCTGCCAGGGTGACCCTGGGCTTCCAAAGCCAGCCCTCCTCCTGCCCAGACCCCCTCCAGCTGAGGCTAAGCTAGATTCTGGGCCCTCCTTGTAATTTATTTGACAGGTCTTTCCTATATACAGGAACGTGTTCAATGTCTCACAAGCGTCTAATCATTTTGGGACCTTTGGAAGGACTTTCAGTGAAGTACGGCTCCCAAGTCCTCTGACAGGTTGACAGTCAAACCCCCAAAGTGAGGTGTTAAAAAATACCACCCCTAGAGCCCAAACTGCCTCCTGGGGACCGACACTTGTGTAGGAAGAGTGGCAGGGCTCCCCCAGAAGGCACATGGAAGGGAGAATGAATAATGAGGGGCAGAACCGAGGTGTCAGTGGGTCCCACTGGCACTCATCCTCCAACCCTGAGGACGGGGGGGGGGTCTCTGCCCCTCATTTTCTCCAGGTTTCGACCGAGGTCCAAGTTCAAATCCTCAGCACATAATTGACTAAAGGTCCATGGGGCCCAAACACACAGCTGGCCAAAAGAAGACCTTTGAGGCCCGCTCCTGCCACTGCCCAATCAAGGCAAAGTCCCCTGGGCAGCTCTCAGTTTGCCCATCTCTAAAATGGGCACTTCCCACTCAGGCCTCCCGACTCTGCAAAGCTGCTGTGACCCCATCGCTGCAGGCGGAGAGGGGAGGAACCGGGCAGAGGAGACCCACCGCGGCTGCATCCTGGGCCAGCATGACGGTATCCCCAAAGGACAAAAGCTCAGGAGTGCACCTTGGCCCTGCCACATACCAGTGACCTGGGACCTCGTGACACTCTCTAATCGGCAGCTACGAAGCCGAGCCCGGCTTTACAGCTTACCACAGGCTTATTCATCCTCATCTCCCTCAATCCCCTCAAGGACACAGTGAGGCCGGCACTGGCGTCCTTGCTGCCCAGACAGCCAAGCTGAGGTCCCAAGAGGCCAAGAGAATCACCCAAGGTCACCTACTGAGTAACTGAGGCACGGTAACTGATCTGAGCTCTCTGGGGACACGCTCCTACCTTTTGGTCCCCGCTGACCCCATAACCAGTCTACTTCACCCATTCTACAGATGAGGAAACTGAGCCCAACCCCCTCCAAAAGCTGCACAGGGTCAACGAGGGGCTGAGCCAGGCCTAGGAGCTCTGGTCATTCTGCCAATCCCACCCCGTGGCGGGTTCTGAGCCAGGGCGCTAGGGCACGGGCATCCCTCTAATCCCCCTACACCATCCTGATTAAATTCCTTCCCCTACTCCACCCCCACACCTTCTCATGCCCACCCCGCACTCTCAGGATGACTCCCTGGTCGAGAGTGAGGCAGGCGGTTGCTAAGCAGTCACCCGCTCTTTCTCACAAAAATAAACTCCTTCTGGCTGGGAGACTCTGGATGAGCTCCCCTCCCTTCTAGCCAAGAAAAAAAAATTAAAAAGAAATTTTAAAAAGATCTCCTCCATGACATTTATTTGAATGCCAGCAGTGCCAAAGCGTGGGCCAATTTACCAAAGTCCAAATGGAGCCAGCCACGCGCCGCTAAACCTCAGCCCAAAGACCCTCCGTTCAAGTGTCCGGGCAGTTACTGAGGTGATTTATTTCTCCAGGCAGGAAATGGGGGCCCGGGCTACCTCCCAAGGCTTTGAGGCTGGTCCTAGGGGACGCCAGGATCTGGCAGGGGCCAGGCAGTGACCAAAATAGCCAGGCTGGTGGCCCTGCCCAGCACACACCTCCCTCTGAATGTGGGGGGCTGGGGGTGGCCCACAGGTCCCCCCTCCAGTTCAGGCTGAAGCTCTGGGGCCGCTGGAGAAGGTCCCTGAGATTCTCTGTCTGGCTTCCCTGGTGGGAGGGGGACGAGAACCTCTTGCTCAAAAGAGGAACCCTGAAAAGGAAGGAGAAAAGGCGAGAGGAGGATGTGTCCCTGCCTGCTGCCCACTTGGCCCCCAGCTATCCCTGGGGGCCTGTGTCCTGCCACTCAAGGCGGCTGGACGTTGGCACTGCCACCTGCACGCCACACACGGGCAGCACCCTTGGAGCCTTGCCCCCCTGTCACCTCTCTCGCCTCAGTGCCTGCCTGGAGAATCAGCTCTGGCTGTCTGGCCCTCTAGGCACCAGGGACACTCCCTCAGGTGCCGCCGAGGACACACAAGTGCCTGCAACCAGGAGCCCAGAGACACGGCCACAGTCTGGGACACACACGTGCACTGCCAGGTACCCCGAGACACGGCCGCATACAGACAGGCTCACAGCAGACACACGCCGGGACACGCGAGCGCACACACCCTAAGGCACACGGCCACGGCCACGGCCACGGCCACACTCAGGTGTCGCAGACACACCAGGACACACGGACACGCACGCCCCAGGGCACGGCGTAGCAGAGGCATACCCGAGGCATACCCTGGGCACACAGGGCACACAGGGCACACAGGGCACGCTGCTGGAGAGCGGCAGGGACAGCCCCCTCGGCCACACACAGACACGCACGGGGACACGGAGATGGCGCAGACACCCAGCGAGGCACCGGCACCGGCACCGACACGCACACGCACACGCACACCTGCCGCCTGCGCGGAAAGCCCGAGCCCTGTCGCCGGGCAAACAATAAGAGCCCCGCCGGCGGGGCTGGGCGGGCGACCCCCGTCCCTCCCCCGGCGGCGAGAGGGCGCCTGGACCGGGGCACCCGGCGGGGAGGCCGGGGCTGCCCGGGGCGCGGGGCGCGGGGCGCGGGGCGCGGGGCGCGGGGCGCGGGAGGGGCCCCGTCCCTCGGGTACCTGGGGCGGCCGCGGCGCCGCGCTCGGCTGCGCTCGGTTCCGCCGGCCGGGGGCTGCCCTCCCGCTCGCTCTCGGGCCGGCGGGCTCCGCGCTCGTCTCTCCTCCGCGTGGCCGGGGCTCGGGGCTCGCGGCGCTCGGGGCTCGGGGCCGGCGAGCCCGCGGGGCTGCGGCGGGGGCCCGGGGGTCGGCGCTGGCGGCGGCGCGGAGGAAGCGGCAACGTATCGGCGGCTCCTTCCTGACCTCGCGTGTCTGTTGTCTGAGCAGGCGGCTCGCAGCATCACCCATCCTGCTGGGTGGAAAAATACCAGCTCGGCCGGGCCGGGGGCGGGGCCGGGCGGGCCGGGGGCGGGGCCGGGCGCCCAGCCCCGCCCCGCACGCGGGGACACACACACACACACACACACACGCACACGCACGCGCGCGCGCACGGGCTCGGACAAAGAGCCCGGGCTCGCCGAGGCGCGCACACCCTCGTGCGGAGCGGCCGACCGCCTCCCCGCCCGAGCGCGCTTCCCGAGGAAGCCCAAGCTCGTGCCCAGCGGTGCCGCCGCCGCCCCGCCTCCCCCCGCCTCCCCCCGCCTCCCCCCGCCTCCCCCCGCCTCCGGGTGAACGGCCCCGGCCCCCACCACCCGCCGCCCCCCCACCACCCGCCGCCCCCCCACCACCCGCCGCCCCCCCACCACCCGCCGCCCCCCCACCACCCGCCGCCCCCGACCTGGCCCGCGGGGGGCGCCTGCGGCCGGGCGGGTGGCGAGTCCAAACCACTCCCCTGCCTCCCCGGGGGCGGGCGACCCGGTTCTCACAACCTCGGCTTGCTCCTCCGAAAAATGGGCACAGCAGCCCCGCCCCCGCTGCCTCACCGGAATGTGATGGGAAGCGGTCACCCAACAGCTCGCGGATTCTTGGCTTTGTCCCCGCTGGGTCACCTCGGGGGAGTGACTGAGGCTCTCTGTGCCTCAGTGTCCCCATCCGTAAAATGGAAATAAATGTCATAGAACCTGTGTCCTCTGGCCCCTGTGAAGATCCGAGGTTAACCGTGCAAAAAGCTCAGAACAGCTCCGGGCACTTAGAAAGTGCCAAGCGGTCCCTACCGTGACTATTTTTAAATGAAAATGGGGAATGTGCCATTATTCTTGTCCTTATTTGCATGAGCGGCTCCTCTGAGACCATTTTCCACACGCGCGCCCTATCTGGGCATGAGGAGCAGTGCTGTGTGACCTCCAGCAACGCCTGTCCCCTAAGAGCTCTCCAGTTTCTCCTCTCACCCCCTCCGTCTGCACCTGGAAGGCTGTGTGGAGAAGGCTGGCTCCTTCCAGCTTTTAGACTGAGAATAAAAGAAGACACGCAGGCTCCACAGAGAGCCATCCCCTGCACCACACCTGGCCCAGCCTGGACCCGCTGCCTGGAGGAGCCTCGTAGCACCCTCTTCCCGGATCGGCCCCCAGGGAGGACTAAGGATGCTGAGCAGCAGGGCTGGAGAGATGACATTTATTCTCTGCCTGGTTTCCTCATTGAGGCCCCCTGCTGTCTGCTACCCTCACCCAGCTGCCCCTTCCTCCAGGAGGCACCCGACTACCTGGGGGTGGGGGCCATCCACTTCCAGGCTCCTCCGCGTGGCCCTCCCACTTCATGGCAACAGCACTCCTTGTATAGGTGAGGAAAGCAAAGCTGGGGGGTGGGCGGAAGGCTGCCAAGTCCTTACATCTCTCCCTTCCTTCCCCATGTGAGTGAGCCTCTTCCATGAGCTGAAGGAGCAGATGGCAAGCAAAACCCCCCCAGCCTCCCTGCGTGTGTCACTGCGCACAGCACAAAGTGTCAGGTCATAACGCCGTTAAGTGACTCCGGAGAGGAGGCTTTGACTAAAGCCAAGGGGTTGAGGGGCAGGGAGGGGGAAGCAGAGGAAACTGCCGTGCAAAAGCTTGTTGGCAAGCGTGGTTGGGCCGTAAGCGAAGGTGACGTGGGCCAGCTGGGGGTCAGGGAGTGAGCAAAGGCAGCAGAGGCCACGGGAGGAGTGAGGGGGAGGGTGGCCCATTCAGGACTGTGGTCCGGAAAGGCCCATTGGATCCTGCAAACTGCAGGCGAGTCCGTATAATGCAGAACACAGACGAGGCTCACACAACCCTGGATCTTCCTCCTTTAGATAGTAAGTTCTGAAGGGTGGGGGCTTGTTCTCTGTGCCCCCAGGGAGTCCTGGGGTTCATCCGAGGGCCTGGCACACAGCAGACACCCCAGAAATGTTAGTCGCGCTTATTTCGCAGATCCTTACACAGATAGCACTTAGCTGAGTGCCCGGCACCCCAGATGCACTTGTGTGTTTCAACTCACCGAATCCTCCCAGCCACCTTATGAGGTTCATTCTATTAATCTGCCCCATTTACAGAAAGGAAAACTGAGCCACAGAGAAATTAAATGACTTGTCCAAAGTCGTTCCGCTGGTACGGAGTAGAGCTGGAATTTATTATTTTTTAAAAAAATTATTTTTTATTGGTGCTCAATTTGCCAACATATAGAATAATACCCAGGGCTCATCCCATCAAGTGCCCCCCTCAGTGCCCGTCACCCAGTCACCCCCATCCCCCACCCCCTCCCCTTCTACCACCCCTAGTTCGTTTCCCAGAGTTAGGAGTCTCTCCTGTTCTGTCTCCCCCTCTGATATTTCCCATTCATTTTTTCTCCTTTCCCCTTTATTCCCTTTCACTATTTTTTATATTACCCAAATGAATGAGACCATATAATGTTTGTCCTTCTCCGATTGACTTACTTCACTCAGCATAATACCCTCCAGTTCCATCCACGTCGAAGCAAATGGTGGATATTTGTCGTTTCTAATGGCTGAGGAATATTTTATTGTACACATAAACCACATCTTCTTTATCCATTCATCTTTCGATGGACACCAAGGCTCCTTCCACAGTTTGGCTATTGTGGACATTGCAGCTAGAAACATCGGGGTGCAGGTGTCCTGGCGTCAGAAAGCCAATTCAGAAGCACTATTATACAGCTACTGGTGGCTCTAGAAAAAAGCATAAAGGACTCAAAAGACTTCATGACTGCAGAATTTAGATCTAATCAGGCAGAAATTAAAAATCAATTAAATGAGATGCAATCCAAACTAGAGGTCCTAACGACGAGGGGTTAACGAGGTAGAAGAATGAGTGAGTGACATAGAAGACAAGTTGATGGTATAGGTATAGGTATAGAGCTGGAATTTAAACCCAAGCCAAGAAGCAGCAGCAGCAACAGGGAAAGGAGGCAGGAAGGAGAAGAGAAGCCAGGAAGTGCTCCAACCTCAACCCCAAGGAAAGCTGGCACTGAGGGTGGAGAGGTGACAGGGGACGTGCCGCAGTATAGGGTGGGAAGTATAGGCTCCTCGTGAAGGCCAGAGACCCACCCCCAGGCTGCATTTCCTCCTCTGCTGCTGCCCAGTTGTGCCACCTGGGCCTGCATGCCCACTCCCCGGGGCGGGGGGTAGGGGGTGGTCGGTGTCCTCATCCCTAATATGCTATAGTGAGTCCTGTGTCACTGAGCCACTGTGAGGAAAGGTCTCAAACTTGGGGGGGGGGGAACGGGTGTCTGCACTGAATCTAGTTCCCAGATGTGCTTTTTTGGCTTTAAAAGGTGTTTTTGTTTTTTTTTTTTTAAAAAAAACATTTTAATTGCCATGAAGAAAAACTTGGAAGATTTCACATCTTAGAAATCTGAAGGTCTGGCTGGAAGATTTCACATTTAGAAAATGGCACGATGGAACCCCCTGGGGCCCACTCTCTACCTGCCCAGCATCCCTGGGAGCTGAGTGACATCAGCCAGCCCCTTACTTGGTGATGCAAGATCCCCAGAGTGCCACAGTCCCCACCTGTCTGGTTCCCTCATTTATGCCACCCACCTGGCCCTGCAGGGAGCACACTGTGAAGCCCAGAGTATACATTGTGCACTGGTCTTGCCCCTTGCCAGGGGGATGGCAGCTGGAAACCCCAGGAAGACACTGTGAGCACCAAGGAGCCCTCAAAGTGCTGGCAGCAAGGAGGGAACTTCAAGGAAACCCAGGCAGAGGTTTCCTTCAGAAGCCACATAATAGTCTGAAATCCCATTGGGACTAACTCCTGCCATTTCAAGAATGAAAATTGATTGCCTGAAGAGCTCACGGAGGGCCTGTGAGGAGAGGTGGCTGCGTTTCAGGCTTTAGTCTCCAGTCCTTAACTTAAAGGCAGTGGATTTGATTTTGAAAAGGTTCCTGGTAATGCTTTTTTCAGCAACTGGCAATAATAAAATAAAACCGATCCAGGACTTTAAACAAAATCTTTAGTCCCTTGCCAGAGAATCGTTTGTCTCATCTATCAGGCGACCAACAAGAGTTGTCCAAATGGTTGCTGGAGGTCTAACTGTGCCGGGCCATCTGGCCAGGGCCGACCAGCCCCTCCGCACTAGCCCTGCCGAGGGGCATCCAGCCAGCCTCTCAAGACAACATTCCCTGAAGAGACAGAGACAGTGAAGGGACTGTCAAGTGGTCCCCATCCTGGGCACCTTTTCCTGGGCAAACTCCATGTGTCCACACTGCTGGATGTGTGTAAATGGACCCCTGTACCATAGAGGCTTTAGCAGAGCATCTATCTGGACCTTCGGGAATCTGCTTCCCACCTGCCCATCCTCCTCTTGCTTGCTTGCACATCTCAGTTTCATCTGTCATGAGCTGTGTGACCTAGATTGAATTATTGGAAAAAACAAACAAACAAATATCTCTGTGCCTCAGTTTCCCAATTTGTTAAGCTAGGCTAGCCATAATCTCTATGCCCCAGGTTGTTGTGGGAATTAAGTGGAGAAGATTCATACAGAGCCTGGTGCCGGGCACATAGTCTAACGTCGGGGTAACCAGAATGCCTGCTGACTTTGCCCACATGGGCTCTGAGCTTTCCTACCTTCCAGCCTTCCTCCATGCTGTTTCCTTCCCCAATGCCCTTTGCTCATTGTCCTCCTTCCACCGGGCCTCAGCCAATCTTGGAACCCTAGACTGGGAGTACCCATAAGCCAGGTAGCCCTAGCAGCACCTGGGACGGGGGCCTGGAAGATAGAAGGTCCCAGGAAATGCTTGCCTATACGTGGCAAGCCTCCGAGGACTCCCTTTATCGTCTCCCTTGACAGGACCAAATCTGTCCCCAGGGACCAGAGAGGTGTCAGGGCAGGGGACAGACATTCAGGGTGTGTGTGTTTATTCATTTGCTAATGCAAAGCTGCAGATCCATTCCAGACCAAGCTACC